GGGGGGAAGGAAGATGAAGGGAGAGTGTGAGAGATATTGAGAGGAAGACGGCGGGGCGAGGGGGTGGGAGTTAGGAGGAGATAGGGAGAGGGTGGTGGGGGAGGAAGAGGAGCAGGTAGTGTGAGGTAGAGAGAGGGGCGGGTGGAGGGAGATAGTGGGAGATAGGGAGAGGGGAACAAGAAGAAAGGATGGTGGGAGATATCGGGCGGGATATGGTAAAAAAGGGTGCAGGAGAGAAGGGGGGAGATGGATTGAAGGAGAGGGGGGAGATTCACCAGGGATATATTGGCTCACAGGGCAGAGGCGGTATGAATGGCAGGTGTTTTGGGACCGTGGGAGCAAAGGGGGGAATTGAGCGAGGTGAGAGTGGGGGAGAGAGCGAGGGGAGAGAGTTGGGGGGAGACATCCCGGTGATGGAGATGAGAAGCGGTTGAGTCTCCCCTTCGCCAAATATGGGCGCGGAGTTAGAGGCACTGATAGTGAAGGCCATTGGCCTTGGTACACCGCGCCTGGCACCGCGATGCCTCGGCTCGCTCCGGGCCGGCCACGATGAACCCTGACCCAGACCGAGCGGCAGGTTCAGCGGTCCGCGTGTACAGTGTGTGCGGTGTGTGTGCGTGTGCCTGTGTGCGTATGTGTGAGTATGTATATGTGTGTGTGTGTAAGTACACGTATATTATTATTATTAGTGTGTATATGTGTATAATAGAATTGTGTGTATGCGGAGAGCGCGGGTGCAGTGGTTAGCGCGCGGCGCTATGAACCCGGCGACCCGAGTCGCTCACAGCCAATGCCAGTGACGATTACCCGGACTGGTCCTGGACCTCCTCTAGGTCGACTTAGCCTCAAATTAGTATTTGCTGCGGCGTGCAAACATTGCCGCCAAGGAGACAAAGGCGGCCGGGCGTGGTGCTGGCCACCTTACCCCCCTTGTGTTCCGTGCCGGCTTTCAGAGGTGCGTGCTAACAGCACTTGCCCCAACTGTCTGCTAAGGCTACACGTGAGATGTCTTGTCATGCACGGCATGCTGCTCCCTGCACACTCGCGTCACGCACAGCCGCTCGTTGCATATTGCGCGCGAAACTACACAGTTCCAGCCCATCGGCAACACCACCACGATCATCATCATCACTGTTATTATCATTATCACCGTTATCACCGTCATCATCATCACCATCATCGCCAGCATCATCACCGTCATCGCCAGCATCATCACCGTCACCAGCATCATCACCGATGTTATTACTGACATCGTCATCATTGTCGTCGTCATCGTCGTTATAATCATCATTTGATTTCTCGTAGTGCCCATCAGTGCCACTTTCCCTCCAGGGTTTCTCCGCTGTAATGCCCCATGATACGATACGATTTGGATATATCGCGTTTCACGATGCAACGATTAATTATCGCGACCTCATTTCCCTGTGGCGGTGCAACCGTGTTTGGCACGTCGGTCGGGTCGCTGGGCTCTCAGCCCGGACGGCGGTTCGCTCGCAAACTTCTTCACCAACGTGAGCTGCCGCGCCTGTCCCGCGCGTGTCCCGCGAGCATCTGACTGAACCGATAACGTCATCGTTCTGGCGCATGCCGCACGCCCTCGAGGGGTGCCCGCTGTCGCGAGCGATTGGCGTCTCGCCACGGAGCTGGCCGGCGCGGCCGATGTCGCCGCTCGTAAGCGCCGCCATCCCGCCCGATCACTGCGCGAAGTCGGAGTGGCTTCCATTTGGACGTCGCACGCAATTTGCTCGCCGTGGCGGCGAGGAGCCGAATCGATCGCGATCGACGCGGTGCCGTTAAACCACGTGGCAATCGAACGTGCTTGGCTGTGTCGGGTGGTTGGAGGGCCTTGAGGACACAAATTCGGCCAGATCGAGAGGACGCGGCCTCACCCATGAATCTCATACGAACCCAAGTGGAGGTGCGCGGCGGTTTCAGCTCTGGGAGAGAATTGATGGGGAGAGATGGAGGCATGCGAGACCGGGTCACCCAGAGAACCGTGGCGGGGATCAACGCGGTGCCATCGTCGCTAACGAGCCGACAGCGCGGACATTGGCCGGCCGGGTCAGGCGGCCCGAGTGCAACTCGCCCCGCGACCACGCGGATCTCCACAGGGGCTACGGGGAGGCCGGTGTCGCCCTTCGGGCATTTAAGGCGCAACTCGGACGACGATTAAAAGTTCAGGCAGAAATGTCAATTATTCAGAGCAGCGACGATCACGACGCAACCACAATGCGGATGCCATGGACCTGATCACCCGTGCCACACGCATCCTCTCGGAGGACCCCACCCCCATTCCGTTCGCACTTCCGATTAGCGCTTTGGCTGTGTACGGCACGAAAGAGGGTCAACATACATACATTCGAACGGTGGGACGGCACGACTTTGTCTTGACGGCTACCGCTGAGTGGGGGGGGTAGTGGGGGGGGGGGGTTGCCACCGGTGCCGTGCGTAGCGCGAGGGTAACGATGCGGATTAATTACCTCGAACGGGGGGAGTGGCTGCTTGAATCTCCGTGCCTCCGCACCGCGGGGTCGTTCGTTACTCCGGGCGAGCGCTGACAGCGGAGATGCGGTACGGGGGGGGGGGGGGGGGGGGGCGCTGCCCTGGCGAGGTCAGGGTCAAGGGAGCTCAGGGTCAGAGTGCGGGGTTGGGGTCGGCCTCGGACGGACAGGCCGAGCGGGGTTCAGACACGTGCGTTTGTTTGCGAGTGAGGCGCCGTCAGGAATGATCCTCGCTTCCCCATCGTCGTCGTGAGTCCGCCGCCGGTCGAAGGCCTTCCCAAGCGACGTAACGATCCACCCGAAGGCAGGAACTCATCCCGTCGCCGCCGTGGGAACGCGCGGGCACGCGCCGAGGCACGGCCCCGACCGCGCCACGCCCGGCCTCTCGCAAGAGTTGCGCGAGCCGGCGGGCGGAGCCTGGCCCGGGCCGGCGATGCCGGTGACCGCGAGGCGGGGCCCCGCTCGCGGTCACCGTCGCCGCCGCGGGCGCCGTGCCCCCCCGTAGTGCGACACGGGCGAGGGGGAGGACGGCGGTTGTTGTCTTGGTGGGGGGAGATGGGGGGGGAGATGGGGGGGGGGAGATGGGGGGCGCCTCCCACCCCCCCGCGGGGGCGATGATGGCCGCCGTGGGGCTGTTTGTAAGGGGAGCAGAATTGATGAGCACGTCCCTGTGCGGGCCGGGACTGAGTTAATTACCGCCTGATAATAGAGAAAGATGAATTACCACGGAGGAAGTGTGAAGGGGGGGGGGGGGGGGGCACGGCTCGTACCTGCGTGCGCCTCGTTCATCACGGAGTTTGGTCTTCACCTGTGGGACTGTGCGACAACAGTGGGACGCGTGGCGTCGTTCGTGTAAAATTTGTAATCTTGTGGGGCGATTTAATGTGAAGATCGAGATCATCTCCCGAGTGTGTGTGCAGGGTGTCTCAGTGCAGGGTGTCTCAGTGCAGGGTGTCTCAGAGCTGGGTGTCTCAGTGCAGGGTGTCTCAGTGCAGGGTGTCTCAGTGCAGGGTGTCTCAGTCCAGGGTGTCTCAGAGCTGGGTGTCTCAGAGCTGGGTGTCTCAGTGCAGGGTGTCTCAGTGCAGGGTGTCTCAGTGCGGGGTGTCTCAGTGCAGGGTGTCTCAGAGCAGGGTGTCTCAGTCAGGGTGTCTCAGTGTGGGGTGTCTCAGTCCGGGGTGTCTCAGTGCAGGGTGTCTCAGTGCAGGGTGTCCCAGTGCGGGGTGTCTCAGTGCAGGGTGTCTCAGTGCAGGGTGTCTCAGTGCAGGGTGTCTCAGTGCAGGGTGTCCCAGTGCAGGGTGTCCCAGTGCGGGGTGTCTCAGTGCAGGGTGTCCCAGTGCGGGGTGTCTCAGTGCAGGGTGTCTCAGTGCAGGGTGTCTCAGTGCAGGGTGTCTCAGTGCAGGGTGTCTCAGTTAGGGTGTCTCAGAGCTGGGTGTATCAGTCCAGGGTGTCTCAGTGCGGGGTGTCTCAGTGCAGGGTGTATCAGTGCAGGGTGTCTCAGTGCAGGGTGTCTCAGTCAGGGTGTCTCAGAGCTGGGTGTATCAGTCCAGGGTGTCTCAGTGCAGGGTGTCTCAGTCCGGGGTGTCTCAGTGCAGGGTGTCTCAGTCCAGGGTGTCTCAGAGCTGGGTGTCTCAGAGCTGGGTGTATCAGTGCAGGGTGTCTCAGTCCAGGGTGTCTCAGTGCAGGGTGTCTCAGTGCAGGGTGTATCAGTGCAGGGTGTCTCAGTGCAGGGTGTCTCAGTCAGGGTGTCTCAGAGCTGGGTGTATCAGTCCAGGGTGTCTCAGTGCAGGGTGTCTCAGTCCGGGGTGTCTCAGTCCGGGGTGTCTCAGTGCAGGGTATCTCAGTGCAGGGTGTCTCAGTCCAGGGTGGCTCAGTCCAGGGTGGCTCAGTCTGGAGTGTCTCAGTGCGGGGTGTCTCAGTGCGGGGTGTCTTAGTCAGGGTGTCTCAGTCCGGAGTGTCTCAGTGCGGGGTGTCTCAGTGCGGGGTGTCTTAGTCCAGAGTGTCTCAGTGCGGGGTGTCTCAGTGCAGGGTGTCTCAGTCCAGGGTGTCTCAGTGCAGGGTGTCTCAGTCCGGAGTGTCTCAGTGCGGGGTGTCTTAGTCAGGGTGTCTCAGTCCGGAGTGTCTCGGTGCAACGTTTTGAGCGCACACAATTATTTTTTTAGCTTTTGCTACGCTTGTTTGCCCAGGAAAACCTCACTGAGCCTCAATACTCATTTTCAAGAGGGGATCCTTGCCAAAGTGTCGATGGTTGCTTGTGTGATCCCAGTCGATTTGCAGGGAATGTTTCAGCATTGGGATGTGGTTGGCCGATACCAGTTCCACTGGATGTGTGGGTTTAGCTATGGGAGGAGGAAACCAGAGAACCCGGACGAAACTCGCCCGGGTCGGGGATCGAACCCAGACCCTTCTTGCTGTGAAACGCGAGTGTTTCCACTGCGCCGCACTAATCTATGTTGCCGTTGTTGTTGTGGCTGTTGTTGTGGTCGGTGGCGGCGCCGGCAGCCACGGACAGAGGGACACGGCTCAAATCCTGCTCACACGCGGGGCCCGGTTCCTGGCCGACCGGAACGGCGTCACTCCCATCGACCTGTGTGTGCAGGTACAGCCCCTAGTCTCCCCCAGCCCCCACCCACACTCACCTCCCCTCACTCCCCCACCCTCCTCACTCTCCCTCACCCCCCCTCACTCCTCCTCACCTCACCCTCACCTCACCCCCCCACCCTCCTCACTCTCCCCCCCACACCCCCCCACCCTCCTCACACCCCCACCTCACCTCCCCCTCACCATCGTGGAGGCTGCCAGCCACCCAGTGGGTAAGCAGGCGACACTCGGCGTGCACACCCGGAGGCCCGTCTCTCCGCGGGAGTTTTTTTTGAACGCGTCCCCATGAGGCTCGCGGGAGTTGCGTCCCGTCGGCGGCATTGGTTCAACGCGGGCGACCCTCGGTCTGGACCCCGTCTCAAACGTTCGGCGTCCCGCGAGCAGAGCCGGGTCTCCACGTTGCGTTCCGTGGCCGTGCGTGTGAACCCGGGGAGGCCCGTTTTGTAACCGGCCCGTTGCCCGAAACGTTCGCCGATTACGCTTTCCCTTTTGAGGCCACGCGTGCCCAACGCGGCGGGGAGGTGGGGGGGCTGCTGGTGACGCGGAGGAACGTGCCGAGTTGTTGTCGGCTGTGCTTTTGTTCACCGCTGCCAATGCAGCAGCGGCAGCAGCAGCAGCAGCGTCGCCAGACACGTTGTCCAGCAGAGAGGGCCCTTTCCTCAAAGCACCCGGCAGTTCCACCTGCATCGGTTCAATCGCACGGGCCCTGACCCTGCTGACGAGACACCGGTGGTCGAAACCCGTCCAGAGTTTCGCCTGCGTTGAACCACGGCGCACGGGAAGTCGCGCTCCCACAAGGTCGTGAGTTTATTTGTTGCGCTCGGCTCGCCGAGTGCCGTCCCCGCCGACTTTGCCGCTCGGCTCGACGGGAGGGCCTCGTCGTCCTCACGATCGGCGTGGCATTAGCGTCGCGCTTGCGTCGCGGAAGCGTTATTAAAAGGTCGCGCGATAAGCTCCCTGTGGTTGGCGGTGCGGGAGAGCGAGCGGCGCGCCGAGGAGAAATTAGCAGGGCTCTCACGACAGCCACTTAATCTCCCTAATGCCCCATGCTGACGACACAATGAGTGAACTATTTTGGACAGAAGTGGAGAGTTTTTTTTTTTTATCTCTTCGCCCCGGCTCGCTCTCCCTCGCTCCCTCTCCCTATCGCTCTCCCTCCCTCTCTGCGTGCGCGCGTCTCGATGAGCGTGTCTGCTTCAGCTGAGCGTGAATGAATCCCGCGCCGAGCAGCTCGCCGCGCGCGCTCATTAGGGGCGTCCCCCACCCCCCGTCCCAGAGGACGCTGCTCCTGGAGGTCGCGGGGACGCGGGACTTGAGCCCCCCGCGCTCGCCCTCGCCCGCCCGCTCCTTGTTACTCGGCGACGCTCGCTCCTCGGTGCTCACGCTCGCCCGCCCAGCGCTCGCCCCCTCAACCCCACGCTCGCTCCTCGATACTTCTTATTCCTCGGCCCCGACTCTTTGCGGTGCGAGTGGGAGCACGTTTAGCATTGAGATCGAGCTGCCAAGGGGAGACCCCCGTGTGGAGTAGCCAAGGGGACCCCCGTGTGGAGTAACCGAGGGGACCCCCGTGGAGTAGCCAAGAGGACCCCCGTGTGGAGTAACCGAGGGGACCCCCGTGGAGTAGCCAAGAGGACCCCCGTGTGGAGTAACCAAGGGGACCCCCGTGTGGAGTAACCAAGGGGACCCCGTGTGGAGTAGTCGAGGGGACCCCCGTGGAGTAACCAAGGGGACCCTTGTGTGGAGTAACCGAGGGGACCCCCGTGTGGAGTAGCCAAGGGGACCCCCGTGGAGTAACCAAGGGGACCCCCGTGGAGTAGCCAAGGGGACCCCCGTGGAGTAGCCAAGGGGACCCCCGTGGAGTAGCCAAGGGGACCCCGTGGAGTAGCCAAGGGGACCCCCGTGTGGAGTAACCAAGGGGGGACCCCCGTGTGGAGTAGCCAAGGGGACCCCCGTGTGGAGTAGCCAAGGGGACCCCCGTGGAGTAACCGAGGGGACCCCCGTGGAGTAGCCAAAGGGGTCCACCTAGCCTGGCACAAGCACCATGGTGATGTCCCTGCCACCTCGTGGCGAACGGCCATTGTTCGTGAGTGTTTGAGTGGTCGACTCGGTTCAGGTAATCGTCACCGGTATTGGCCGTGAGCGGGAATCGAATTCGGGTCGCCGGGCTCGTGGCGCAGCGCGCTGACCGCCCCTCTCGTGCGGTGTGTCAACATCGCCACTGGGGAGACGAAGGTGGGCGGGCGTGGTGCTGGCCACCCACCCCCTCGTGTGCCGTGCCAGCCTTAATGGGTGCTCGCTAACAGCGCTTGCCCCAACAGTCTGTTAAGGCTACACGGGAGGTGGGGGGGATCTTTGTGAGTGAGCGTGAGACCCAGAACTTGCCACCGGCATTGACCGTGGCCAGGAATCGAGCGGCGGTTTCGTGGAGCAGCGCGCTCAACGCGGCCCCACCGCTCCCCCACCGCTCCCCCCCCCCCACCGCGCGCGCACACTCGCTCGGCTCACGCGAACACGTGAACGCACGCAACAATTTACTGGAGGGATTGCTCGGAAGATGTGAACCCTACACACAGTGATATAAATACTAATTACGTCCTAATTGCCTCACAAATCCCCAGTCCCGCGCTCACGTGCATCATGTAAATAGCAATTACTTGGAGCGCGGCAGTAAACACAACGGAACGCGGCGCGAGTCGCAGACATCTAGACGAACGGCGCGCGGGACGGCCGGGGCCGGGGCCGGCACGGCCGCCGCCGCACCCGTGGTCGTGGGCCGTGGTCACTCCACTGCTGGATGGAGGGCTCCTCTCCCAAGCCGTCACCAGCGAGCCCGCGACGTAGCGACGCGCCGAGTGTCTGCACGGGACGGAGGCAGAGAGCGCTCGTGCCTTAGATCTCTCCGTCCCTGTCTCTACCTCTCCGTCCGTCCGTCCGTCTATCGGTAATAGTGGGCGGCTGTGACGGAGGCACAGTAACTCTCGTAGGAACGATAGAATCGGAATGACACTGCAGGGCGGTTGAGTCGTGTTGCTGGTGGGGAGTCGCCCTGAAGGAGACCGGACACGTTGATCCGAGCGCTGTCGCCCAAAGTTTGAAGAGAGAGAGAGAGAGGAAACCAGCGCCGAAAGGCCAAACGCACGTCGGAAAGCGTCACAAGACTCGGTGCGGCGTGGCGAGCTCACCGGTGTGGCTGGCTGTGATGTCGCTGACTTTATTCTGGTGTGGTGGTGTTCTGTGGGGTGGTTGATCTGGCCGTGGTGTGGTGGAGTTCTGTAGGGTGGTTGATGTTACTGTGGTGTGGTGGTGTTCTGTAGGGTGGTTGATGTTACTGTGGTGTGGTGGAGTTCTGTGGTGTGGTTGATATTACTGTGGTGTGGTGGAGTTCTGTAGAGTGGTTGATGTTACTGTGGTGGAGTTCTGTGGGGTGGTTGATGTTACTGTGGTGTGGTGGAGTTCTGTAGGGTGGTTGATGTTACTGTGGTGTGGTGGTGTTCTGTAGGGTGGTTGATGTTACTGTGGTGGAGTTCTGTAGGGTGGTTGATGTTACTGTGGTGTGGTGGAGTTCTGTGGGGTGGTTGATGTTACTGTGGTGTGGTGGAGTCCTGTGTTGTGGTTGATGTTATTGTGGTGTGGTGGAGTTCTGTAGGGTGGTTGATGTTACTGTGGTGTGGTGGCGTTCTGTGGGGTGGTTGATGTTATTTTGGTGGTGTTCTGTAGGGTGGTTGATGTTACTGTGGTGTGGTGGTGTTCTGTGGGGTGGTTGATGTTATTGTGGTGTGGTGGAGTTCTGTAGGGTGGTTGATGTTACTGTGGTGGAGTTCTGTAGGGTGGATGATGTTACTGTGGTGTGGTGGAGTTCTGTGGGGTGGTTGATGTTACTGTGGTGTGGTGGAGTCCTGTGTTGTGGTTGATGTTATTGTGGTGTGGTGGAGTTCTGTAGGGTGGTTGATGTTACTGTGGTGTGGTGGCGTTCTGTGGGGTGGTTGATGTTATTTTGGTGGTGTTCTGTAGGGTGGTTGATGTTACTGTGGTGTGGTGGAGTTCTGTGGTGTGGTTGATGTTACTGTGGTGTGGTGGTGTTCTGTGGTGTGGTTGATATTACTGTGGTGGTGTTCTGTAGGGTGGTTGATGTTATTGTGGTGTGGTGGAGTTCTGTAGGGTGGTTGATGTTACTGTGGTGTGGTGGTGTTCTGTAGGGTGGTTGATGTTACTGTGGTGTGGTGGTGTTCTGTAGGGTGGTTGATGTTATTGTGGTGTGGTGGAGTTCTGTAGGGTGGTTGATGTTACTGTGGTGTGGTGGAGTTCTGTAGGGTGGTGGAGTTCTGTGGTGTGGTAGTGTTCTGTGGAGTGGTTGATGTTACTGTGGTGTGGTGGAGTTCTGTGGTGTGGTTGATGTTATTTGGTGTGGTGGTGTTCTGTAGGGTGGTTGATGTTACTGTGGTGGAGTTCTGTAGGGTGGTTGATGTTACTGTGGTGGTGTTCTGTAGGGTGGTTGATCTGGCCTTGGTGTGGTGGAGTTCTGTAGGGTGGTTGATGTTACTGTGGTGTGGTGGAGTTCTGTAGGGTGGTTGATGTTACTGTGGTGGAGTTCTGTAGGGTGGTTGATGTTACTGTGGTGTGGTGGTGTTCTGTAGGGTGGTTGATGTTACTGTGGTGTGGTGGTGTTCTGTGGTGTGGTTGATGTTACTGTGGTGTGGTGGAGTTCTGTAGGGTGGTTGATCTGGCCGTGGCGTGGTGGAGTCCTACGGTGTGGCTGAAATTTTCGCTGTTCGTCCACATGGAGTTGTGGCACCGATTGAAATCCCAGCCGAGTCTGTGGCAGTTGGTGAGACTGCGCGTGTCTGCGTGTTTGTATCCGGGGGGAGCGGTGGCACAGTGATTAGCGCACTCCTCTACGAAACCCGGCGACCCAAGTTCAAGTTCAAGTCCCTGCTCACCACCAATATTGGTGACGGATATCCGGAACCGGTCTTTGGCCTCCCCCTAGGTCGACTCAGC